CCGCGTCGCCGTTGAACTTCGACTTTTTGCAGTTTCGCGGCTTCGATCGCCGTGTTATCCGGTAAGCGATCAGAACGAAGCGGGAAGAACGGAGCAACGGCAAAGAGAAACAGTGGAGATGGGGCGAGGTTTAAATGCGAGCGCGCAAAGAGAACGACTCTAAGCTGTCTCCGACGTCTTCCCATAAATCGAAGAAGTCCGACTTTTCAGGCCGCGTACCACCGAGCTTTCTCGAGCTTATTTAAATCATCCCTAAAGCCTCCTTAATATTGAAAAATGGTCTTCGCGATGGTTCGCTCTTCTTGTCCTCGTTCTCTCACTCTTTGCCTCCCCCCCCTCTCTCTCTCTCTTTCTCTTTCTCACACACACACACACACGCACGCGCGCTCTCCCTCTCTGGGTTTCGTACTTGTGCTCGTCGGGCAAACGAGAACGAGCCGAGCTCGTCATTACGACCGGTGAATTAGTAACAGCAATAATCGCATCAATTTGCATTTTTAATTCGTTAACGTTTTTAACGAACTTAGTCGCTCGTTAAAAGCGACGATGGACGCACCGCGCGCCCCGACATTGCGCGCGTGTGAGCGTATCCCCTTTTTTTCTATTTTTTCATCTTTTATTTTTATTTCATACGTTGGAGTGGTGTGCAATATTGAATGCTATAATGTGTTTGCTTTGTATAATCCGTTACCCGGAAAACGCGATTTCCGAATATTGGATATACCATGAACGAGATTTGCACAGCGTTACCCGATATTCATTTGCAGCAATCCGGAATGATTCGCATTTCGCGAATGTGCGATTAATTCGGATTCCCCGTAGTTACGGACGTTGCCCGATAGACGATCCAAATTAATCATCGCTGCTTTTTTACACTCTTTTTGTGTGTCTCGTTTCCTCCCTCGCGCGTTCAGCGACGCCGCGTTTACATCTTGATGTTGCGTGCATCACGCGGCGACGCATAATAATATGCGATATTTTAAAATGCGCGACGTGCCGCGCGGTTTCATCGCGTCGTCGTATTTGGCTCTCCTTCTCGCTTCCCTTCGCCGTGTGCTTCCTCGAGAGTGGCGCTCGCTACATCATTACCGACTGTCGAATCGTCCTACGCGCGTTAGACGGGAATTTGAACGATCGAACGTCGCGACTATACGGAGACTCCGCGGATTTCCCAAACGTCGGATATCCGATATACGGATATCCGCAAATCCGAGCGAGAACGCGCCGCGCCGCGCGTTCTAGCCAGCTCTCCGCGTTTGCCTAACTCACGTATCGTGCCCATTTCCGTGCGCCGCGCGCTCCGGAGGATAGCCGTGGGATTTAGGTACCACGTTAATAACATTGGCGTAACTCGGGGCCTCCCGGCTGTCGGGCTAGAGCGTAATGAAGCTTCGACGACCTTTCGCGCTCGGTCTATGCATGCACGTCGACGTGTTCTAGGATTCTCATTCCGCGTCGTGACGCTGCATAATCGGCTTGACCGCGGGATCGCTGATGGATCGCTGTCGAGTCGATCCCCGCCGGCCGAACGAAAATTAGAACGACCGAGTGGGCTCGCGCTTCACTTCACCGCGGATTTTCAATCCCCGCTGACGTTCCTGTCGGCGCCGGAGAAAGTGCAATTTTAATCGGACGAAATCAAGATCAACCAGCGAGCAGAAATGAAGGCGAACTTGCGCCAGAAGGCAGACAGGTGCGAAATGAACATGGAGAATTGCATCGGGAATTGCATTGAACGTTTCCGCGGCGTTTGTTGTTCCTTGGCGTGCCGTTTTCGTGTCGATATCATTGGAATATTTTTCAATTTTCCCTCTGTCGCGGCGGAAATATTCTTTTTTCAGTTTTATTATTTCGCATTATTTGCTTCGTCGCACGTTGACCGACGGGAAAATCTTTGTTCCCTGTAATCATACGACCTGCGTGTTAATGGGAAGTCGATTCTGGTCTGCGACCGGCGGAGCGAGTTTAATCGAAGCGACGTTTTTCGCAGCGCATGCACGCACGCGTCGTTTAAAATATTTTTGCTCGCAATTCATTGTAAGTCCCAGCGCGGCTGGGGGCAGTTTCGCGGCGAAACAATGCACGCGCGAGAACAATTTCGCGAATCCCGGTAACGGAAAGTCGACGGCGATTTCGCGCGGGTCGCTTCGCCGTAAATTATGGGACGGTCATAATATGCTTTGCGACTTCTCTCCGCGTTTCGTTTCACCCATCAGCCGCGCGCCACACGGACTTTGTATTTCTCGGGCCGCCCCGAGGACGATACCTTTAAATCTTCGTCACGACACGGTTGCTCTACGTCTTTCTCTCTCTCTCTCTCTCTCTCTCTCTCTCTCTCTCTCTCTCTCTCTCTTCCTTCTCTTTTCTTCTTTCCGTTAGACAAACCGGCAGCCGGCTCTTTTTGCGCGCGCGCGTCTGGCAACGTCGGCGGGTAATGGCGTATAGCGCGAAACTCACCCGTTCGCTGTTTATTCATTATGCGCGAGCTCTCTGCTCGTTACAACAATATGTAAGCCGAGCTTTTATTCGAGATAGAAAGACTCGGGGGAAATTTCTCGCGCTACAACGCGGCGGGAGCGCGCGCCCGCGTGCATTTGGTTTTTTATTACCGTTTATTATGTGGCGCCGCGGCTGGCACGAATGTATGATATATAGCCGCGCACGTTGCGTCAAAATAATTTCACAATCGGAAGGGAACAGCGCGAGCAATGATTAAATATTTAAAGACAAACATTTCAGTAACGTCGGCACGGCCGCTCGTGTTTCATAAACTTTTCTCTCAGAGAAAAGTTACGGAGTAGACTCTTTGTTTCGTAAGGTTAAGACCGTATAAGAAGTTTTAATGGCGCGAAGTTTCAGTTAACTCGGCGAGATTTCAAAATCCATTTGGAATTTCCGCGATTCGATTTTAATTCGGCGCGATTGAGGCTGCTCGGGTTCGCCTTTTTAACGGTAACTTTCGCCGCTTTTGATCAGATTTCCGACAACTTTTGCGCGGATCTCTTCTTTAGCACGTGGCATCGCCTCGTCGAAGGTATTTTCGACGTTGAAAAGCCCGGCGAGGAAGTAAAAAAATTGGTCAGATTCAGTGTATCGCGCTAGAATCGACATCATCACTGAGCGTTAATGAGTGCACATTCTCTTTCCTTCCTTTTGCACTTTCTCAACTGCGGTTCCGGGCTTTTCTTTCGTTCGGATGGAGATTAGTGCCTCGTCCCACTTCCGCGACACCGTCCAACCTTGCCCCGACACACAGGAGCTCCTTCGTACGTTTCGTACGTTCGTCCGCACGAAGTTTGACACGGAAATTTATTCGCGCTTAACCGATTTGGCAGCGGTTCAAGACGGATGCTCCACCCACCCGGGAAGTCTGCCGCTGTTTTACGATCAAAGTTCAGAACGACATTTGCACGTCGGCTCTTTCGTCTCGGCTCCAAAGCCGCCGCCGTCGCCGTCGCTGCCGCCCCCGTCCTTTGTACTATTTCTTCGCTGCACCCTCTCGCGCGCACGATTTCTCGGTTTCTCTCGCCGCGGTCGCCGTCGTCGTCAACGTACTCCACCCTCGCACGACACGCCCGAATGATTCGCCGCGCGGCCGTCGTTTCCTTCCCGGAGAATTTCCGTCTTGGTAGTCTCGGGTCCCGTCGGGATCCGCCAGCGGAGTGACCGATGGCGGGGCTCGAACATTTCCGGGGGATATCGGACGGTAAAAATTCGCGAGGCGAACGAATTTGGCAAGCGCGCGGGTCCAGTGCCGAGAGAGAACGAAAGAAAGAAAGAGAGAGAGAGAGAGAAAGTGAGCAAGCGAGAGAACGAACGAAAGAAAGCCCCGTGCGAAATTGAAACGCCGGATCCTGGCGAGCGAAAGACACGACGGCATTCCCGTATAACAGAATGCAATATACGGCGCGTAAAGCATGCCTAGCGCACCGGGCGCTGAAAAAAGACGCCACGGTCTACGACGACGACGTGTTCGTCCCAAGTATTTCGCATCCGCTCGATATCATATTTCTGCGTACTCTGCGCGATTCTTGAACCATGTTGTCGAACGCGATACTTGAGATACTTTCGTATCCGTGCGAGAATTTGTTTACATCCAGTCCGACGACGGACGTGCCGGAATTTTCGGCAACCGAGCGCTTCACGTGGGCGCGTTGATTATAATGTTATTAAACACCTAATAAAACATAATCTTATTCTTAACGGTATTCTCGTATATACACAGCCTCGAGAGGATTCTTCCGAAATCAGAAGGAAAATATTCCGAGTATGGTCTTAAAGTCGGGGGAATTTCATCTTTCGTCCACAGAGTACGAGTCTTGTCCTTACACTGAGAAAAAACGCGGTTGGATCGGCAAAAATGGTCACTGGGAATATTTCTCTTTTGGTTTTAGAAGAATTTCCTCTTGAAACCAAAAGAGGATTCTACAAGAACGAAATCCTATTATATTATAATATTTTTAGACTGTAATTTTGCGTTACAATAGTGTTCCCTAATTTTATGAGTTACTTAATAATTTTTCGCGACCTCGCATTGCCTCGAGCTCCCATGTCGAATCTCGTTTATCGTGTTAAACAACGCGGGAAATAGTGAAACACGATTTTCCAACAAGAAACACTGATTTCTCTCCAGTGGCGAGTGATTAGAGAAAATTTCATGTGCCCGGCAGAGTAGAGTGCTCTCGGTTTTCGCCGGATTCCGCGGTGCAAATAATTTTCATACGAATACCGTTCGCCCGACGCGATATTGCGTTTGCGATATTAACAATTCGCGCCGCCTAGAATTCGGCGTCCCGAGCGTTATTCGTCTGCATGCAAAACACGTCGACAACGACGCGACAGAATCGTCTCCGAATGTCATCTCTCTGTCTGTCTGCCTTTCCCCTTGGAGCTTCGCTTTCTTTCACGCGCAAAATTTCGCGCAGAACGTTTACGCGGCAGGAAGAAGCGTCATCGATCGCCGCACTTGCTGATTCGCAGTGTTCCTGTTTCTGTTGCAGAGTGACAGCGGGCTAGTGGACACAGATCCAGATCGAGTTAGCAGCATGACAGCCATTAACTCGGTGAGTCACCAACGTAAATTAATACGCCGCGATAAAAGCAATGCGTATCGCGTCGTGTTTAATGACTCTACGTTACATCGAGCGCTTGCGTCCGTTTTAAATTATGCAATCTGGATAATTCGTCGTTAATTCGCGTTAATGGCCGCGGCCGTGTTCGACTGAGCGTGGTAGACCACGCCAGTAGCGAAAAACGTCGCTCTGACCGACGTCAACAAGACTCGTTGGCGAAATTCGTCTACTGCGGTATCCGCGTTACTAAACGACGCACCGCCTCGTGCGCGCGCGTGTACATTCACCGTCTTTCGTCGTACATTTTCCGCCGCGATAAATCGCGAATCTCGCCGTTACGAATCGCGCTGTTACGCGCGAGAAACGTACGCTCGGCACGCCGTGCCGTACGTACGAGTATATATCCGTAGTTATTTCCAGAGAAAATAAGTCCCTCGTTACAGCGACGTTGAAGTATCGATTCTGAAATAGTTTCACGCATTCACTTCGGCGAGCGCGCGGCTCTCGCGCTCGGAACGGGAAAGGGGTGCACGGGTAAATGCGCGCGTCTCGTCCTACAGCCGCCGTTCATCAAATATGTAGGCAATCGCTCCTCCCCGTGCAGACGGCGGAGACGCCTGTGGAGTTTTGCGTCCGCTAATAATCCCATAATGCCACTCGCGTGACAGTAGCTTCCTGGGAAAAGAAGATAGCGGCTTATGCGGTGCCTGTGCGGATGTTTGCGCTGCGGGACGTTTTCGGCTCGGCAAACAGCCGCGCCAGTCGGAGGGTGCGCGCAAGCCCAGTATTTTATCGGGCCTAATACAGTTATCGTGGAGTAACATTTGGTATTGTTATGATTAAGGGACGAGAATCGCGCTCGTCCTGTCTGCCTGCCTGTCTGCCTGCCTGCGGACCGACCGACCAGTCGGTCGCAGCTTCTTGTTAATCCCGCCGCATTACCGCCGTGTTTGTACGCCGGTCGAAATTCCGCGCGCTGAGCTTTACGCGACTTTATTGTCCGCGGACAGCTGACGGGAGGGAGGTTGCGGCACTTTTGTCTCGATCAATTTCAGGACGCATCCGGTATTCAATGTTGGGGGTTGTTTCTTCAACTGAGAAAAAATGTTTGGCATTTGTGACTGTAATCACATGTGGAAATAATTGTTACAAATTATGGTCGGGAAAACTGTTTTTATTAAATTTTACTATATGGCGTCAGTGATAAAAACAGTCTTATATGCATGTTACCACTACCATTCTTGTATTAGAACATCGAAAAATATGGTTAGGTTATCGAAAATAACTTTAGTTAAATTAACCATGTCTTTCTCTCTCAGTGATATTAATTAAAAAAAAGGTTCTTCCTTTAGGATAATAGATACATCCTGCAATTCATCGAGAAATGAAAGTGTTGCAATCTTTCTTTCACTGATTGCATACACATACGTGTTGCTGTTTCAAGCAATAAATACAGGAACATTTGAGTCTAGAAACATTCGATTGCCGTAAAGAAATTTTTCAAAATTTTTCGAGCTGTTTGGGCGAAAAAACTCGAAGTGAGTGTATTGGGTCGTGTAATGAGTAATTTCAGAAGCTTTTGAAAGCACTTGTAAAGTAATTTCAAATTTTTCATATAAAATAAAATGTTTTTACGCATTTTTATGTCTTTGTAGTTTTATGGAACATTGTGTGCGCTATTTTAACGTATCTTTTATTTTCGCCATCTTTCGAACATTGTTTCACAAAATTGTAGCGACATAATGGTTTCATTTTACATGAGAAATGCGAAATTACTTATTACACGACCCAATCATTTTCTGGGTTATAATTTATTATCTGTGAATTAGAATTAAAATCTCTCGTCACCTAAGTCTATTTTTGAAACATCGATTATGACATTCCTTTTCTGCAAAATCGTTTTGTCAGCTACGACATTGTGAGAAAGGAAAAAAAATTCCAATATCAGCATATCAATGCAACAACCTGATTACGCAGTTCGCGTATGCAATTAGACTCAAGCAGCGAATTGGCAGCATGTTTCTCGAGTTGAGGACACGTCTCACTCGTTTCTCGCGATGCAAAGTCGATCCTCATTCATACCGCGTCTCGCGAGCGTAATAAATCAAACCTCTTTTCTCTAATCGTGCGCCGTTCATGCTCCCTCGCTTTTTCTCTCTCTCTTTCTGTCTCTCCCCTCCCCCTCTCTCTCTTTCTCTCCGGAGATAGCATGAGCGCCGTGACACCTGACGTTCGGACGCTCGCTCGCTCTGCTGCGAACCGTGGAAACTCACCGTTTGCATGATAACGACACCGCCCGGATCGTGAAAGGTGAGACATGCGAGACGACGCTGGCTTCCCAGCACGGAAGAGCCGGCGCTCCTCCCGGGAATTGTACACGAAACCGACACACGGCGTATTCATGATTCTCGCGACCAACCAACCAACCAACCAACCAACCAACCAACCAACCAGCCAGCCAGCCAGCCAACCCCCTTTCCACCCCTCGGAATTCCCGTATTCGTTCGGAGAGGTGAGACCGGATCGGCGGAATTCAGAAGGATGCTTCTTCCGCTTCCCTTTCTGCCCTTGTCGTAGTAGTCGTCGCCGCCGTCGCTGCCATCGCGATCGATTTGGGAATACGGCCGCGCGTGCATCGCGGTAGAATCCCGAGAATTCGCGCCGCGTCTTCTCGAGAGGACGACTCTGGTGGTTACGAAGTTGTCTCTGCGACCCGCTGCGCTGTCGCGACAACGCTGCGACACCGGTCGTAGTAGTGTAGTAGTAGTAGTAGTAGTAGTAGTAGTAGTAGTAGTAGTAGTAGCAGCAGCAGCAGCTTCTCGAGTCCCGCGGGGATACGCGCGTTGATTACGCGCGAAGAGTACGCGCTGCGAATTCGCGTTCCTCCCGTAAACGCCTCGTGTTGCACGAGGTGTGTGTCAGGGATATTCGTTCCTCTAACGTGCCGGCTAGTTAAACGGCAGGACAAATCCGCCACCGACGGAACGTCCCTGCAACGATATTCCGCGGAGGGAACACGCGACAAGCGCGGAAAAATATTTTGTATTCATGAGGATGTTGCTTCCTGTCGCTGAGAATTTCAATGTCTCGAGTGGCTCCGCGCTGCGCAGGCGATAAATGCGAAATTAGAAATGTTTACTTTCCGCAATTTAAGGTTAATTTAATTTTTGTTACGGCGTTAATCTTTTTATCTAATTAACATTTATTCTACTTTCTGCGAGACTATTACAGCCAAAGTGCGAGAGAGGTGGGGGAAGCACATTAAAACGAGGAGCAGTTCCGCAGAGCGATTTCCGCGGGATTCAGGGCGAATAAAAATTTCTCGCGATCCCCAGAGAACGCACCGAAGTTTGCATCGCGGCCGCGACACATTGAACGACACGATATGCTTCGGGTAGTCGCGACATTTGGCAGTCATCCCGCTACGCGCGCGTGTCGTAACGAGAGACGGAGAGAATTCGCAGAGAACCGTGTGTTCGCGAGCGAGCGAGTTAGTGAGTGACTCGACGAGAAAGAAGTGGCTTCGTTTTTCCAAAATCGAATTACAAACTGTCTTGTGATATAAAAGTCGAGCCGCCTTATGACGGCGTACGGCAGCTAGAAATAAAAGCACGTATTAGTGAGGCTCACAATGCTCGTTCGATTAGGAGATGCGAAATCCGATACGCGCGCTCGTATTACGATGTTGCTCGGATATATCCGGGAGTATTACGCGAGCGTAATTGAGAGGAGTATCAGGTCCGTGTTTGACTATAAGTTGCACGTTTTGCCGCGGCAAATAGCCAATCGATATAAATCGCTGACGAGTTTCTCGACGATACTGACGAAAAGCGCCCGTACGTCGCGCGTAGCAATAAAGGCGAGAGAGAACGAGCGACTCTTTTCACGAGCAGCTAATATCGAGCTAATATGAAATAAATTAGTGAGCATAAATGCGCTCGTATAATGTGCGATAACTCATAAAAAGGGAGCGCGCGATGCGAGAACGTGAAATAATAACACGCTGCGCAGGGCAGCGATAAGCGGGGGAAAGAAGGGTGCGTTCATAATTATAAATTATAATTGCCTCGTTCGTATCGTTATTTTTGCCGTGGCGGGAGCTCAAAGCTCGCGCACAGTCGACGCGAAAGTGGCGGGGATCGATGAAAACGTAATGGTGCATTTTTATTCCACGTTGCTCCTTTTACGCGCTTCCTCTCCGCCTTCTGTGTGCTGTATTATTCAAACTTTACATACGTTTGAGAAACAAGAATATTCGACGAGGCGGGCTCGCGTCGATGCTTAAAAAGCGCTCGTCTCGGCGGCTCGTTATTCCACTCGGTATCAAAGTCAGAGCGGCCATTTGCAATGGAAATTTTTCGCGGTTTCATGAATCGACCGCGGACAAATTCGAACTTCGCCCTTGGCCAGCGCGAAGAGGCAGCCGATCTCCCGCAATTGCTTCCGCCGTTTTTCTCCAACCCTTTACTCTGTGTCATGCAGAGAGGAGAGATAGAGAGAAATAAATATAAATATATATATATATATATATTTTTATATTAATAATATATATATATATATATATATAGAAAATGCGTGTAATTTTTGCTGTACTTATCGATAGAGGCGGCACACACACACACGACGATACCACTCGTAGATACGAAGTTAAAAGCGCAGGACGAACCGTTCGGAACAGTAAAGCTCATCAACGAAGTCTCTCGCAAAGAAAGAGACAGAGAGAGAGTGAGAGAAAGAAGGAGAGAGGAAGGAAGGGAGGGAGAGGAGAGAGAGAGGAGAAAGCGAGAGAGAGAGAGAGAGAGAGAGCTTGTGGAAAAAATTTAATCTCTTCGGCCGGCGCAAAATATGTATTCTTTCGCCGAAAACAGGTTTCTCCGCGATTGTTTACAGCCGGATTATTTGTTTAAAGTGCACCAAAACCAGCGAATCGCGCTCTGCGCGAGACACTCTCAAGTGTACAAGTCGAGAGTCACCACTCTTGCGAAAAGTGA